GATAATTGTTTCGGGATTTTTAAAGGACATAACATTCACATAGTTCGGGAGGTAATGTTAACAATATATTGGTTTAAATATATGAATTACAAAATTCGTTATAAGCAGTACAAGTAATTACAAAGTAACATTCGTCATTGATGGTATTAATATTGCATGACTTACAAAGTCGTTGTTCGTATGGAATGTGTTTCCATTTACCCTGCAGAACCATAAACATAATTTATTCTAAGTCTACATAGAGATTTTACATATTTTTGGTCGATTTTTAAATTAATTAGGTACATTTCCACCTCTAGAGTTAATTTATAAGTTGAAAAGTATTGCAATCTGCTATTATTTGAATATTACAATGTCTTTCTTGTTGTCCAGCATCCTGTAGTCTTTGTTTGAACATATATAAAAAGACTTTGGAATTACCAACTGATTGAGACGGCCAAACATACCCAAATCCGTAGCGAAATAATAAATTTTTTATGTATGATGCCCAATTCTGTCCACCATTATGATCAATATTATTCAATATATTGAAATTGCCACACCATTCATGTACATCATCTGTATTAAGAGAAACTGGGCGTTATATACTATATACTCTGTTAAATGTATCAAATACTGGCTAAAATTATTGACTATCAAGACACCAGATTACGTAAACTGTTTTATAATATTGATCAAAATTTTCAGAAATCCGACATACATTTCGTTTAATGGATTATAGTGTGAAAAAGAAAACTCGGTATTGTCTTTCTGATCTTTTCTTTTCTAATATACGCATTAATCAATCTTTGATATAAAATTCTGTGTCAGTATTTAGCGTTGATTATCTGTTCTTTTCCTTATTTCTAAGCATAACATTCGTCAGGCTTGAGAAAAGTATTTGTTATAATACTTTCCGAATAATACGCCGAGAGGTTTCAATCATATAGGTGCGGGTGTGTGAACCTTCGTCGTCGTGTCTATTATACCACTATATGTAAATATGTAAGTATATGTAGATGTATATAAAAATACATTAATACATAGTCTCTGTCTGGCATATTATACTTTTACTTTGTAAAGTGGTATCACATTAACCAGCATGACCCCGTGAACGTTTTAGGCCATCAAATGTAGGTATACTAAGACTATTCTATTTGTGTTTACAACACCATAAATATGACAGCCAATCAAAACTACATTCAGTGACCTCATTTTTATTCTTAAATGAAACAGAATGAGTACAATGTACTTCCTCATAATTTTTTTGATGTGTCTATGCTGTGTGGGGGGGTTGGATGGCTGAATGGTTAGCGTGCGCGCGCGCGCTGTATCATACAGTCTGTCATTGAGTCGACTGGCGTGGTATCGAATCCCCGGTTGTACGTGGCAAGGAGTAGGGTCGCCTGTCCAACCTCGTGGGTTTTCTCCGGGTTCTCCGGTTTCCTCCCACTGCTAAAGACCCCTACGCGCAAGCGAATTATGTAAATAAAATTAAACCATATGTTAGTCCCGAAATGACCTAGTTTGTGTCGAGTGGACGTTAAACCCCATTTCTCTCTCTATGCTGTGTACATACATGTAACACCATTAATGAAATTCAATTCAGAAAAGGCGAAGCTGAAAACAACACAATAATGGACGAAATTCCTTTTCGTTTTAAATTTACATGGTTTCCAAGCTAGTGACAATTATGAAAATATTATATTTTTCTCCTGGAATGGGGTTAATATATCGGCCATCTTGAGACTCATAGATGTTAGTTTTATTTAAATTTATGGTTACGTGTGCAAAACTAGGTAGAATAATTTTGCCCGGGCAACGACGTTTCCGCAGGTCTCGAGCCGTGAATGTTTCTTTTACGCACACGCCAATGTATACCATGATGGACCTACTTACCGTGTCAGCCTCGCAAACACCAACCCTGACAATTGACGATCGTAGGCACAGATTACAATTATATCTTTTGTCAAATATGTGAAATTGAGAAAAAATTATCAATCTCACAAAATCTGTAGTAAATCTTTTAAGGTACCGATCAGTTTGTATCCATTTACTGGGCTTTGATTTACAGGTGATGTCTTCAGAAAAGAAAAACATTTAATATTACAACCCAGAATGAATTGTACTTAGACCTTTGTTTAAGACACCTAAAAAACCTGATAACAACATTGTATATAATACAGACTGATAAATGTGTATCCTAAAATAGAACATTATATAAAAAGAAAAATTATTCCCTGGTCGGAATTATTCTTTCCGTATTTTTGGTACAGGACGAAGAGTCGGGATTATGATATGAAGTCAAAGGAACACAAATGTCTAGTGTATCTGCCCAGATCAATAATAGTGTCTGAAATGAAATGAAATGGGGTTTAACGACCTACTGTTCCGTTCCAACTGGGCTAATGAAGACGGACATACGTCATAGAGTACTATGAGGGACATTTTGCTCAGACGGCGGCGATACGACCTACTCTTATATCGAATTCCAACTGCCAAGGGATCTTTTACGTGCACGCCCATGTCTTCACGGGACCTCGGTTGTTCTTCCCATCCGAATGACTAGACAGCTGTCTTTGTCAGGCCCTCCGTCCTGTACCACTAACATGGGAAACCATGATGGAAAATCCCGATGAACTTTCCCGGCCACCAACGTGATCGAGCCCGCGACCTTCAGCGAACCAGCGTCGTACTCGCTTACTCATGGTGTCTACCAAAGATGACGGTATTACGTGAAGTCAGTAGTCGAGAAAATACGATATTTGACAATGATTTCACCCACAGTAACAATAATTCACGGGACCTTTCAATAGTTTGTAACACATACAGGTCACGTTTTCAGGTTAATGATAAATATCCGTTCGTTCGTTTCTGGGGTTTTACGTCCACTTCCACCTAAGGTGATATCGTAGACAAGATAAATATCCGTTCGTTCGTTTCTGGGGTTTTACGTCCACTTCCACCTAAGGTGATATATGGTTACCCATTCTGTCATAGGTTTTAATCAATTTAAAGCAGTGTGGCCTGTTTTCTAATTAAATGCTTATAATTCTTATTTTATTTTGAATAACCCTATTAGTTGGCATGGTGGGTTGAAGGTGTTGTCTCTATTATTTGAAACATATTATATTTTCGGTATTACTGCCTAGTTCTAAGTTAATAATAATTATTAAGTTGTGATTATTAATGTTGGTCTGATTAAGATGTTATATGGGGAAACCCTATTAAGGCTGACCTTTGATCTCTAGCACTGATTATCTGTGAAGGGTCAGTCAATATTATTTGTATTATTTATTGTTATTGTAGGTGCTTCTAATTATTTTAATGGTTTCGTCTGATTATTAATTAAAGATACATTATGGGAGATTCGATAACGAGTTGACAGTTCTCACTATAATAGTTAAAACTAGATAATGTAAAGGCAATTTGCTGCAAATTTCAGTCAAATTGATCCACTATGAACCCAGAAATAAAGAGATCGAAAGTTCCGCATAGCCTCGGTCATCATTACTAAAGTCGGTACTTCAAAAATCATAGTCTCGATTATCCATTTAATCGTTAAATCGAGAAGGACAGTTATGCAGCAAATCGGATCATAATCCAACAAAATTATCTTAAGATAGCGCTGACATCGAGAGTTGATTATCTTCTGGATACGTTAATTAATGTCTAATAGTTTATATAACATTTCAGGCCTAAAGAAAGATCTGCAATAGACAGATTTAGCTCTTGCATAATGCATGTTTAAGTTGGTGAAAGCTACAATATGTATAAATAGGATGACTAGATGGATATTTATCATTAACTTGAAAACGTGACCTGTATGTGTTACGAAACGTCGTTATTAAATAACAGAGAAGTAGTTATATCCGTATATACCTTGTGTTGTGTTTTGTTATGAATAGTTAAACCGTGCTTCTAGGTGTCATTTCAAGAATTAATATAATATATTGACAAGTTAATTGCATATTTCTTGTGTTCCAACAGGTCCATCCTAGATAGTATATAAAAGTACCATTACTGATCACCCCCCCCCCCCCTCCCAAACCCAAATAGAAGGGGAAAGTTTAAGATTAGGATAACCCTACAACAGTATACATAAATGAAGAATGGGGATATTTAAAACTACAGAGAATTAAAATGACAAACAAAAGTATATTAATGTGCATAATATCGTAAATAATGTTAATCCCGAGAGGCGTATTTATTGTAGGGAAGTTATAAATAAAAACAAAACCTATGTCAATAGAAAAGTATGATTAGGTCATCGGCTGTCTTAATATTTATATACTGTAAAATGAGCTTCAAGTGTCCTTTCATCTAATAGGGATGGATATCTAGTCTCTATCATCCAGAAAATTACTTTACGAATATTAGTCTGGATGCGTTGTCAACATTTGAGAAAATATTATGTCATTGGCTAGAGTATCTAGTATTTTAAATTATCATAAACAAAGTCTTCGGGAGGTAACTAGTCCTAAAACAAGATGTCGACGCAACTTGAAATTAATTTAAGAATGACATTTCAGAAAATCCATTTGATTGCATTGCCAGTTAAACATCCAACACTCTTGCCTTTTTATTGTAAAATTTCTCTTTTTATGGGCCATGTTTATGCTTTTTTTTATTTAATTTATCCTAATTCACGATTTATGTTAATTTATATTAATGCAAGAATTATGACATTTATTGCGGAAGGGGTGGAATCCTTACTTGATTTGAGCAAAGATACCGGATAATCAACCACATAAAAAAACAAACTCCCGGTTACGCATGAGCAATATTGACAACGGTCCCAGACCCTCCTCCGTACGTTGAAGACTAGGAGGTTCTGAGTGACCGAGACAAATAGCTACCATATCATTTGTCTTTGTACGCATATCCGCCACATAAGGAGACAAGAGACATATTATGTCTATTTTGAGTTGAAACCACGCGGAGGCCTCCCTTCCGATTCAACCACATATATTCTTGGTTCATTTTTGTTTTACCACATTTACATATTTCTATTATTTCAGGTAAGGGCTTGCGGTTGAAAGAGTGGAATGATGAACATAGATATTATGCAAGGACACGGTTGAAAGAGTGGAATGATGAACATAGATATTATGCAAGGACACGGTTGAAAGAGTGGAATGACTAAACTAGACAACAATTACTATGTAAAGGGCACGGTGTGTATTTATTCTTATACATATATGCACAAGGACCTTGCTTCTTATTATTTAGTGTAGCTGGTCTAAATGCCCCTTTTCATTTATCGCCAGCGAATAAACTTTAATTGAGTCCAGGTACATGGAACGATTACATCAATCATTTCTCTGTCCCGCAGTCACCATCGTGGCACATCACAATGGATTCTAAGACCTTGTTAAAGCGTTTTAGAATCTCCTCAGTATTACAACAGTGATTTGAAACAATAGTCCCGATTAGCCACATCTAGCCTTTACATCGTGGCTCAATATATGTTTCATCTTGACCTTCTCCACTCTGGTTTTACCAGGAAACATCTCAGGCACAAAGCCGGCATAGTTTATTTGGCATCACTGCAATCGTGGTCTTTGTCTCACCTGCGATTCTAATAGCTCGCGAGGCTACTTAAATTGCCCGGGCTATCAACTATCAACAGTAGAATTTATTAATTTGTGGTCAACCGTCCAGTGAATGTTTTTTACTGCTTCAGTTTATTTCAATGTTGATAGGAGGTGGAACATCCAAAATGTCTAACATTCCACATTGTCGGATCAGATAAACCACAGCGGTTTTCTGTCCGTTACAACCTCTTCATACAACTTGTAGACATGTGAGATAATGTACATTCCATACACCTTACGGAGCACATCCATCTGCACTGGCAACCCCTTTCATATGAGCATGTAAGTGAATGACAGAATTCCACTTATCCACAATTTTTTGAATGTCTATGATTCTATTTCCCTGGGTAGTATATTAACCCAGGATCACATCTTAATTTAATTTTTCAGGTCCAGATCTCAAATCCCGATGACTTTAACGCCCGGCTTGAGTGGAAAGACGGTGCAGATTAATTTCATCCCTGGTTTATGTGACACCTGTTGAAGTTTAGGGCGTATCGTATTTTGTTTAGGTTCCAGCTGAAGACCCCAGTAAGCGTTCTTTTAAGTGGTGATTGAAAAAAACCCAACACTCTTCCGTATATTATGACCTCTCGTGTGGAAGATAACATGGGTTTTTTTTCTGTAAGACAGGAAGGGGTGTAGGGTGGATGGCTGAATGGTTAGTGCATGCGCGTGTTGCATTTTAAGGTCTGTCATTCTGTTAACTGGCGTGGTTTCCATTCCCCGGATGTACGTGAGTAGGCGTAGGGTTTTCTACGGGTCCTGCGGTTGAAAAAATTGAACCACGTGTTAGTCCCGAAGTGAACTAGTTGGTGTCGAGTGGACGTTAAACCCATTTCTCTCTCTCTGTAAGCTATAGATACCTTTTCTTGAGTGAAGAGGGAAACGTCAATGTGCTTGGTTGGTAAAGTATTAGGTTCGAGACTTGGGTGTACGGATCACATAATCAGTGTATCTGAATTGGTCTGTGATATTACATAGTTTATTAGGGTGTAAGGATCTTCAATTGTTATACTGTTCTATAATCAGATTATGTGAACTTATTTGGCCTGTGTAAATACTGCTGGGGTGCCCAGCCATATCATTTTCATGTAAAAGTATATCACGTGTTGTAATTTTATATAAACAGATTATTTGAACTTATTTGGCCTGTGTAAATACAGCTAGGGAAGGGCAGACATTAACAATTTTACAGGCATTATGTATTCCAACATCTTAGATTTGATCACATTTTGGCACATAAAACTGGCCATGGAATCAAAACAGTCGACGAAAGTGTTCAAAATATAATATTACACCGTAATTACTAACGGCGTTTATATTGCATTTATATTATCTTTTTACAGAATATGTTAAATAAAATGTTCCATCAAGAGTCATGTGCATTAAATTTCTTTCTGAAAATCTGCAGTTTGTTGTAGGGGTCTTTAGCTGTGGGAAGAAACCGGAACAAGGATTGGGACAAGCGAGGAAAAATTTATAGCCTATGATGTTATAACCATTTAACATTAAAAAGTCAAAGGACAAATAATTTCTAGTCAAGGGTCTGATACAAAATTGCTTTTCTAGAAACATCAGGGGAGATAACTGAAAGTATTCATCACAGGTAGTGTTTACAATTTTTAGTGCTTTCTCCAACCCTTTGCATGGTGATTGATGTTGATTTTGTTGTCTAGAATCAACGAAAAGAGATTGATTTGAGATTTCCTGTCAGGAGTTGGTAAATATACACGATTCAGAGGCGGAAGGTTAACAGGGCTAAGAGGTTGGTTACGGTTATGTGTACGGTGGGTAGGTAAATGGTTAAGTTTGATACTTCAGCAGTCGCCGACCTCATACACACTTTATAGGAAAGACATGGTGATTTGTCAACCTCATACACACTTAATAGGAAAGACATGGTGACTTGTTGCTCTATCTGTAGTAAAAAGCGTTCAGCCCAACGAGAAATTGGGAAAGAGTTGGAGCCAGGCAAATTAATACTTGTCTGTCTCAATATGAGTTCTGGAATTATCCCCCTTTTTTTTCGAAAATCTGCCCCCACACTAGTAATTACATCCATTATTTCTATTAAAGATTCCTCTATGTCTAGCACCCCTCCCCTCACCAGGAATTTGTGGTCTTGTATGTGGGGGCGTTGGGGGCAACCTAACACAAGTGTCCACTAGGTTTGTTGCAGTTACATTAACGTGTAGTTACATGCATGCATTCCGCACACATGAATGTAACTACATCAAACCTAATTTGAAATGGGTTAGTATAAATAAGCGGGGGACCTTATTTGGTCATATCCGCGAAAGCAGTAACGTTACGACATAGTAACCGACTGGAGTTGATGACTGACCCAAATTTAAATGCGCTTTGTTGTCACCAAAAGGCGAAATATGGTAAGTAAAAAATGTAGTCTATACAGTAATTACACATATTATACACAACGTATCAAATAATTATAGTCTAGGAGCTAAACGAAGAATACAGCAAATGTTTGGAGATTACCAATAACGTACATTTTTGACAGATTTTGCAAGTACGACGCGGCATAGCCGGATAACACCTAATTCTCGGATATCAACCGCAATACGAGTCTACAATGGACGGAAGGGGCTGCACTGTCCAATGCTTTGAATATCCGAAGGAGGGCTCATCACTTACTCTAGCAGATGTTGTCCTCGGTCCAACCATGCTCTCATCGCTTTACCCGCAACTGAGATTTTCGGTGGGGGTGCCCTGATGTTGTTAATCAGGCACTCATGGCACTGTGAAGCGAAGTTCTCTATTTGTCCCCGAATATCAGAATACCGATTTTGCTATATAATCTTGAATATTGATATTAGTGAACCTCTAATGTCACGCCGCTGAGTAGAAGGAAGAACACGTCGATTCCAGAGAGTGGGGCTGATTTTCCCCGCCGAAATCCCAAAATAATTAGATGACACATATTAATTAATCGCACATTTATTTTTTCTTCAAGAGTATCAAGCAATCAAACTGATTATCAACTATATATTATAACGTCTTGACCAATCAAATTGCTTATCGCTCCTTAGCCTAAGCAGACAATTCTCATCATCGAACTTAGTCAAGGTAATGATATGATATGATGAATCTATACTTGGGTTTCATCACTGTCACTTAATTATAATCAATGTTATCGTGTCCAAAACCATCAACCAATCAGATTGCTTATCTCTGCTTGCCGTAAGCAGACGATGTTTATCATCGAACTCCATCAAGGCATTCTCCTAATGAACGCCTACACCCAAGTGTGAACATTCTACCTCAATTAGGAGAGTTATTGTGTTTCAATGTCTCAACCAATCAAATTACTTATTACTCTGCTTACTCTGAACAGAAAATGCTCATTATCGTACTTTGTCAAGGTACTGATGTGATACAACTATACACCAAGGGTCCCCACCCCACATAATTAGAACTAAAGTTAGCGTATCCCAAACCAGTAACCATCAAATCTAGCTCAATTAGAATGAGAGTTATTGTTTTCCAAAGTCTCGACCAATAAAATTGCTTATCGCTCTGCTTACCCTGTGCAGAAAAAGCTCAGTATCGAACTTAAGTCAAGGTACTGATGTAATGAAACTATACACCAAGTTCATCAAGTTATCGTGTCCCAAACAATCAAACTGCTATCTCTGCTTAACCCAAGCATAAAATGCTCATCTTCGAACTCTATCAAGGCATTGACCTAATAAACACGTGTATCAAGTTAGCAGGGTTATTGTTTTCCAAAGTCTCGGCCAATCAAATTGCTTATCACTCTGCTTACTCTGAAAAGAAAATGCTCATAATCCAACTTAGTCAAGGGATTGATGTGATGAAACTATACACCAGATTTCATCACTCTCACTTTATTAGAACTAAAGTTAACGTGTCCCAAATTGCTTATCTCTACTCCATCAAGGCACTGACCTAACAGACACCTACACCAAGCTTGAACATTTTAGCTCAATTAGGAGGAAAGTTATTGTGTCCCAAAAGGTGTCACGGACAGACAGACAGACGAACCCATTTTAATAGTCCCCTGCTTTCTTCGATAGGCGGGGGAAAACCAAATTTATTAGCAGTTACAAACAACCGCCGAGTATCCGAAAGGATGTTGACATCTAACTTCGATATGGACACAAACTAGTTCTACTCCACCGTTTCAGCGACAAAAGATGTAAATTATGTGATGATATAATCGCAGGAACCAGTATAACCATCTCCTCAACTAAAACATTTACAATTAGGTAAAACATGAATTATTGTTTAAAGAATGTGGTGTGCATGATGGTGTGTACTGGCTGGACGCAGTGAACGATACATTGGAAAGACTGACCACCAACTAATAAGTCGCAGAATTAATCAAGTATATTTTGGATGGCCGCATACCACGAGAGTTTTGGGTTTGTTTGTTTCCCTGGTATACAGAATTCAGTAATGAATTACCTAGGGTATTGCTATTTTCATTTAGCCTTTATAGTACACAGCCATTCACTGTGTGCGGTGAAATGATATATTGGTAAGACTGACCACCCAACTAATAAGTTACTTTGGCCTCAATATGTACGGTAAATGGACAGTAAGTGATGACACCTCCCTCAATCAACATAGCTCCTAAAAATAGTATTTTTATAACCATTAGACAAAATTCAAAGTCCAAAAAACGGTATAGGCAAAATAGTGTAATCAGCAAATGTTTGATAAATTAATTAATTTGGGTATGTTTTTAGTCCAAATATATCAGGAAATCACACAAGTTTGTACGCGGGAAGGTATTTTTACATTAGTAAAACGAAAAAGACTGTTAAATTTCAACAATTTCTGTAATAGGCTGGTCAAACGACGGTTAAATGATGGCGTACGTAGAACAAATTGCAACAAAAGATTTTTGTTTTCTATTAGACTCATGATGTCCTATATAAGTAAGGAAAAGAAAGTTAACCAAAATCAGAGTCCAAATAAGGACAGGGGATATGGCCAAATCCAAGATGGCGGCTGTCGATCAAATATCTCTAAAACTATTTGACTTAGACACCATATATTTTTGCGGACAGATAAGAAGTCGGTACCAGCGAGTCAAAAAACGGCGACGTCTCTATGACGTCATGACGTTAGATTTTGTCAAGATGTAAATTGAGTTATGGCACGTGATTGTTTGCGAGATTATGGGGTAGGGATTGTCATTCATCTGATGAACCTCTGTCTTTCTCTGTATCACGCACTTTCTGAATCGTTCAACCGGTGAATTCTGTTATTTATTTTGTGAATATGTGTCATTCGCCTGATGATTTATGTCGTTCACTTTGTCATTCGTCTGGTGAATCCATGTCATTCGTCCGGTGAAGCTGTGTCATTAACTGCTTCATTCGTCCAGTTCACCGGTCATTCGCCTTGACAAGGCGGCCTGGCAAATCCCTGACTGTTTCTTTGTCGTTCGATTTGCAGATCCTTGACAGTGTCTCTGTCATTCATCTGGTGGACCAAAGAAGCTTTAATGACTTGGGAGCGGCATGAAATCAATTTGGCAAAGTCATCGACGCAATATGGGTGAAGCCAAAATAGCATCTTTCTAATTCTGTTGGCGATATACCGGGTAGACGGGTAATGTGAAAAATAAGTAAAAATATAATATTACTTCGGAAAAAAATCCTTATGCCTTCTAGTCAAAACAATAAAGTGCCCGAAATCCCATGACTTTTTGGTCTGAAGCCAATCTACATCGGTCATTATTTAATTATTTTTTTCGGGAATTGAAATATGTTTAAATTGACTAATGCATAAAACGTTTCAATGCAGCCGATTCAGAAAGATGTGCATTGGGTTTAATTTATTTTACAAAGCCATATAATTAAGGATATATTTGAACACTTTCAGTTCACGGACCGAATTAGCACTCCCAACATATCCGCCGACGCGACCCCGAGGTATCTAATCAGGAATTTCTCGCGGACCGGAATGGCAGGCTAATGCGTTTGCAGCTGTCTAATTGCTGGTTACTGTATTCACGGACTGAATTAGCATCCCCCAACATATCTGCCGACGGAACGCTTTGCGATTTCTGACGACCGGCTTTGCCGGCCCCGAGGAATCTAAACGGGACCTTTATCATTTCAGTCAGATTAAAAACTGGACTATCAAATTGGGTTATGGCAAATAAAGACTACGACTGTCTAGTTATGTAGGGTGCCACCGTAAATGGACTCGTCCTCGGTATTTCATTCATAAAAGCCATAATAAAATGTTAACCAATAACAATATATCTAGGTCAATCCGCTTACCAATCAACTGTTTCAATTTGAAATTGTGTAGGGTGCCACCGTAAATGGACTCGTCCTCGGTATTTCATTCATAAAAGACATAATAAAATGTTAACCA